TACGCTCTCTAATCACCCATTTTACTGTTGCTTTTATTATCGAGTTCGCAACAATTATCATGATTTGCCTTGATCTCACTCTGAATTGAGAGATAAAAAGTCCCTCCATTATGAAATTAGGGATTGAAAGCACCGAACGACAGGTCCGTCCTATTGTGGAATTTTTCAGTAGTGCGCATCCACGATCCCATTCGCGGGAATCGAACCCAGAACATTCGGTTTCGCGCGTGAACGCTTAGTCTGTAGAGCTGGTCGGCATCTGACAGTGTTAGTGTATAACTTCAACCAATCCACGAAATTGCGCCACCGTCCACCATTGTTTTCAGCGAGTAACTGCATCACAACAGACACAGTTGAATTCCACTAGTCACACAAACTCACTAGAACTCCAGGAAAAATCTCATAGAGCCAGTCACTAGTGAGCACATGATGATTATTATCAGAAAGGTTTAGTGGAGATTGTAGTAATTTAATAGTTAATATTCACTTGGTATTGCTGAATTAAATATTCCCATTGATGTTCACAAGCATTATAAACAAACACAGGTAGTGGCTATCAGTGGAATCCAGTTTGACGCGCGTTTTGTCCTATTTGGGACTCGTTAGCTGGATGTACCTGCATCTCAGAATTGTTGATGTTCACTCAGGGCTCGGAACCAGTACCATTCACTTCAAATGTCATCGTGTTCTCTATGGGTCCCAAATAGGACAAAACATGCGTTGTGGATTCCACTGCTAACCACTTTCCATCTTTGCTTTTAATATATAATAGTCAAGCTTTAGTCGACTCATGAATTCATCTATTAAATTACTACGAGCTCCACAAAACCCTCCTTTTTCAAATAAAAATTCACTTGAAAAATCATAAATCTAACGTTCATTTGATGAACATATTCAATGTATTACTATATCTTGGAAAATGGTTAGGAATGAAATGGAATAAGCCTGGTTTCGTCCTATTTAATACTTATCAGTAAAATATGTTGGATTCTTCAACTAGATGATATTTGACATCACCTTAGTCAACTATGATTGATTTGACTTAGGGTGTTGGTGTGTGTTAATGTCTCAACTCAATGACTTCGTATGCAAACGCTTGGTAATTACACAGAATCACCTTCATCAGATCTCTAATCAGAAGACAAGAATCAGATTTCTCTAATGAACGGGAACACAAGATCTTCCCCCCTTCCAGCCAAACAAGTTGGTGAGGTGTAGTAGGTCCTTCTGGAGAGAAACTGGCCACATCGAAGTACGGCACAACTACCGGGAGTAGAATAGCTGTTTTTGCAACCATTTGGAGTTTGCCCCGTGAGGAGCAACCCCGCACATTATATGCACCTTTTTTGTCGTTTTCCATCCAAGAGTAATTGTGCTGTGTTTCTTTGTGGAGTTCGTAATCTATTTGAGGATATTGGTCGAGTGGGTGATTAGTCCAATCTCGACCACCCGGGTTACCGCTCACGTTAGTTATTGAGTCATTCGTCCCACTGTCCAGGAGGCACGACGTGGATGTGTGAGTCGGATTTTGCCTCCCATTAAAATCTGAGAACCATACAATAAATACTTCATTTCCAAAACGTCAGTCAATCGTCTCAGATTTCGCTGTTCCTTTATTTCCACGCCAGTTGACCTAAAAGGCCAATCATTATACAACTCTTCTTATTTCAGAAATCGATAGTTTTTGTCTCTCTTGATTCACTATTCTTATTAACATATTTGATGTAAAAGAACAATTAAATAGTTTTTGCCACACACTGCGACTTGACACAATATTACCCATAGATATGCGATATTATATACAGGATAATCGACTGATCACAATAAGATGGTGTTTGGAAGTAATCAACAGGAAACCCTGGACCTAGGTTTCATGCTACTTGGTACTCGTCAGTAAGGTGTAAATGTAATCTTGAGGGAACTGATGTTCCCTGATAGATTCGATCCCGTATCACCCAGCCTCACATTCAGAGACAATACTGATCACAACAGTAGATAATTCAACCACCATACTCATAATGTTCTATGCGAATACACAATATCAGACCAAATGTTGAGAACTAGACACTAAATTAGGCCTTGCAATTAGAAAGGTTTTTTTGGCATTTACGTTGACACATATATGTTCAATGATCACATTATGATTTGAATTGGTTGAATATACACTGAGAACCAGTGTATCATTTACCATCAATATTACTGAAAGATGATTGAGTATTATAGAGAACTAAGTAAGGTAGGGCATGACGGCTCTCTACCAGAATTCATCTTAGGTAGGGCATTCGATTCACACTGAGTAGTCGAAAATCAGGAAAAATTAACTATCCACTGTTTATTGATTTTAAGTTTTCTGAAAAACTAAGTAGGGATTTGTGTTCACTTATTTCAAAGTTATGGTCGACCTTCGAGAGACAATAAAGTGACCTTGAAGATGTCCACCTAGAAACTAGGACTAAATGAGGATCATAAACCATTATGAGGAATCCTAATTATGATTTACGGTTGATGGTTAAGGTTAGGAATTGGATTTAGTTTTTTCATCACGAACTGATATCAGCTATGATGCCAAAAATCTACTAAACCAAATGGATGAATGGATTTCGCGCCAAAACCCAAGATTTGTTACCTTATATCTGATTAGTCCGTCTGTAAATGATAGTCTTTCTGTGTTTAAATTGATATCATAAAGAGATCAATGTTAGACCACCATTGAAAACCTAGAAGCACTGAAAACAGTTTCATCATAGTATGGGACTCTTCAGCACTGCGCATCCAAGAAGTATTCGATAGAAGTGTGCTTCATATTATCTTATTATGATATTATCAGCTTGCTGTATTCCAGTTATTTTTGCACGAAACATGGACAATACGATAATAAATCAGCAATTTGTAATGTGCTACTGACAAATTATAAGTAGTACACCTTTGTTTCCTACAATGTAAGTGGAAGAAATCTTACATCCCTTTCAATGAGTTTCTGTATTCAAGAGCATACAGTAATTCTGAAATGAATTACAAGCATCCCTTCATAAAATGAGCCTGCTCTATCCCGACTTTTTCACTAGTGTTATGTTAGTCAAGATGCTGTGAATAAATCTGATACATTCACTTGGTGTTGTTTATTTGAATATTCCCTTTGATGTGTTAAGACTACAATTGATCAGTCTTGTATTGGCGTATGTTCATCCATTGTGTATTGCCTCGATATTGACCTAATTTACAAACATTATAAGCAAAGATGAATAGTGGCTAGTAGTGGAATCCAGTTTGATGAGAGTTTCGTCCTATTTGGGACTCGTCAGATGAATGTACCTGCATGTCAGAATTGTTGATGTTCATTCCAGGATTCGAATCATGTATCGCTCATTTCAAATGCCATTGTGTTATACACTTAGACAATGAATGGTGATAGCTACGTGCTTGTGTAATGAGGTGAAGCTCAAATTCATTTTGTATTGTTTGTCTGAATCTTCTTATTGATGTTTAGGCCTGTAATTGATGGGAAGTTTCAAGTAAACAGTACCACGTGAATTTAAACTGCACCCAATTGCACAAGCAAGTGGTTATCAGGACTCAGTAACTAAATGAGTAACGCGATGGCATTGGAAATCAACGATACTGGATAGGAGTCCTAAAGTGAATATAAACTTTGAGATGTAGGTACGTCCAGCCAACGTGTCCTAAAATAGGACGAAACGCGCGTCCTAAATTCCAATTCTAACCACTATCCATCTGTGCCTAGTCTGATGCAGCTCCGTTACACAACAAGGCTTTGAATATATGTCTAATAGTCAATGATTTGCAATGGTTACAACTAGCTCAGTGTTTTTGTCGTTGTACCTTTCAATTGGTTACGACTTTCTCAGTAATTTTGTTTGAGCTGACAATCACAGTATCATTAATGTACTATCGTCCTGATGGCGTTTACATGTCTATGTCTTTTTGGTGGAAGTGTTTAAGGTCATTTAAGTCCTACTCACTGCCTTCTCGTGCAATGGGTGTTGTTTACGAAATTGTGAGAACGAAAAACGAATGTCTTGCACGGGCTTTAACCGGGTTCATGGGTACGGCAGATCCACCTAGGGGAGTTGGAAAACACTCATTCCAAACCAATGGTGTACATGGGCTCCAGAATTCTGAAGGAAAAAATGGCGTATGGATCAATTATTGTTCACCGATCACCTTGGGACTAAATCTCCTGACGTTGCTCCACTGCCTTGTAGATAAGACCTTTAAGTCGAAGATTTCGGGTGTGACCCCTAAGAAAACCACCTGCTTCAGTTTGGGCACCCGGTTAGTATCCTAACTCACACACAAATCAAGTGACTTGTGTGGCACATATGTAGTCGGTGCTCCTTTGTACCAATATTTTTCATGTTCAAATAAATAAATAAACGAGGTCATGAAAAGATAAATTGACCTGTCCAACAGTTAGAACAAGTTATGTGTGGACTTAACAATAGTAATCGACACTACAGAACACTCCCAAGACAATTTACCATCCAAAAAACGAGCAAGTTTCCTCCCTCCCTCCCTTGCACCCTTATTGAAAACTCACAAATGCATCACATACTTCGCCTAAAGCCTCTCTAGGGCTACTATCGGTCCCAAGCCCTGACAAAGGAGGAGGGTTAAGCGTGGGGCTAGTGACCACATCCCGTAGAAAACTAACTCACTAAACAAAACGCTAAATGTATCACATATATACTTGTATATTTATATTGCAAAAAAAAACAAAAATAAAATAGAGAAATCATTCATTCAATCATTCATTTGTAACTAAGTTATACAGTGAAATACAATGGAAAACATTGTGAAAAGTTATATATATGCCAATACATTTACAAGTAAGTAAGTAGGTAAGTAGGGTAGGTAAGGTAGGTAAGCAAGTTAATATACATTTATGAATAGAACATTGTATTCGCATTACTTCTTATAAAATTACATTCAAATGGTAAGTAACTCTTTATGTTATTGTTGAGATATTTCAATTATTTGGTTCATCTATTATCTACCGACCCAGAATTGATTATGTTCCGTTGTAATAATGCCTTCTAAATGTATATATACATATAGTGAGTGATTAGTAAATTATCATTCATAGATTATTTTTCTCAATCGAGATTGTGAATCGATTGATGTTAGATCACGGTTGGAAACTTGGAAGTTCATTAGTGACTAGATCTTAGATGATTTCCTAGAGTTCTAGTGAGAAGCCGAGACCAGGGGGGTTCAGTCCTGTGTCGGATAGAGACAGGTATCTACCTCATTACAATAGATGAATGGTTGCTCAGCTATTCGATGGAAGTTCAATATTAACACTACTGGATATTGGCTTAGCGATCTAGAGGTTAAAGGTACGTGCGTGTAGACCGAAGGTCTTGAGTTCGAGTCCCATGTGCGGGATCGTGGGTTCTCACTACTTACTGAGGAGTCTCATACTATGAAGAAATGGATGTTCAGTGATTCCAGTATTTCAATGATGATCTAGCATTAATCGATTCATGATCTCAATCAAAAATGTAACAATTTCCATAATCTCATACTGATGATCATTTTTTCATGATGATCGTATGAATATCTTCATTTACAAAGAACTGTTGCTAACTCGAGAACCATTGAGAATTAGTATTTATAGGACAGTTACTTCAGTGATAGTGTTCTAGCAACATTAATTAAAGCTAGAAATACGTGCTTTAGGTATTGGATACACACTGCAGAGGAGTCCCACAATAGGACGGAACGGTCATCCATTATTTCCAAGTTTTCCATGGTGGTCTAGCTTCAAATGACTCATGATCTGAACTATTGATACTGAACTAATAGTCTAAAAGTATTCTGATTACTAGAAGTTTTGATATTTGTGTTGACACTTTCCTTGAATCGTGGATGCGCACTGCTGAGGAGTCCAATACTAGGACGAAACGGCCGTCCAGTGCTTCCAGGTTTTCAATGGTGGTCTAGCTTCCACTGACTCATGATTTCAATCTGTGAAAACTTTCCTCGAAGTTAGAACTTTAACAAGAAAGCCAATCTAAGACTATTTGCCTTAATATAATATTCGGAAATGATAATAATAATAACAATCAGTTATAACGTTCGTGAAGGATATTTACTACTACCGATTATGAAGGCTAATATTTGAAATTATGCAGTACACTGAAATTTAGATTAAGGAGCTATAATACACTAGGGTTTTAATGAGAAGGCAATCCTATAAATTGCCTTCGAGGAAACGATAAACCGGTCATGCGCTTTACGTGAAAAATATGAACTAACCAATGAGTTTATTTATGCCAGTGATGAATGTATTTCCATCCCATGAAACCTCAAATTGTTAAATCCAAATTTAACAACATTTTTAGCGGAAGAACGTTTACTACTTATAAGTAGTCCAAAATTGATTGTGAAAAAAGTGGCTATCTATTTTTTTTCTCATACATATCACAGCTAGATTACGTGAGCTCATTATCAGGGGGACAATAGTAAAAGTTTGCTAATCATTTTTTTTGTTTTAATTTATGATTATTTGTATCATTTTATAATAGTTAGAGGTAGATAGAGGTTAGACATTGATTGGACAGTATTCAAAATTCTTTTTTTACACGATAATTATCTTGTTATATGGTTAGTATCACTGACTGGTCTTAGTTAAATCACTGTTGAAAACCAGGATGTGCTGAATAGCTATTCCGTCCTAGTATTGAACTATTAAGAAGTGAACTACTTTCTAATGTTATCAGTAGGTAACTGTCTTAATCTAGATACAGATACACTTAACTGAATATGCATATTCATATTCCCCCCTATAATAAGCTTTATTTTGAGTCATAGACCATCATTATACAATTTACCATTCTTGAGTTACACCTAGTCTGTTAATTACAGTCTCTCACATTCACATCCACTTTTGGCTTGATCTTGTTTAAATGTTTCTTCCTATTTTATGGTACGATATGGTTTGTTTGGTTTGTATATAAACCCAGTATGTTTGAAATACGTGATCCAAATCGTGGAGGCTGAGATTAATGTTCTGGACTCAACAGGCAGGGTTAGGCAGGAAGAAGGACCGATAAGGACTCTAGACTGCTCGTACGGGTTTACGCGTCATTGGTCTGTTCGATAAATTACTGTCCTCTAATTGTCAGTATCAGTTAAGTTATATATTAATAAGGTACAAGAGACCACAAGTTATAACAATAGTGAATTATTGTATTACATAGATCTGAGAATATTCACATAGTAATAATCTCTCACTATCTTCCTCTATCTCTATCTCTCTTACCTGTATACTTCTGAGCATATCTTCAATTGTTGTAAGTTGATTTTGAAAATCCTCCTGACGTAATGAAATATCAGCAACTCTTTCATAAACATTTGTTTGAAGCTATTAGATATTAAATGAAAACAAAAAGGAAAATAACATTGATGAAAATGAATCTTAGAACTTTCTCAATGATAGTTCTATTTTAGGAAGATTGTTAACACTAATAGTTTAAACTATGGACGATCTTGACTTTGTAGATGATCTGGTGCTTCTATCGCACATGTAACAACAAATAAAGGAGAAGATGATCAGTGTAGAAACAGCGTCATCAACTGTAGGTCTCAACATATACAAAGGGAAAACCAAGATTTTTCTATACAACACAACATGCAGCAGTCGAGTCACACTTGACAGAGAAGCTTTGAAGGATATAAAAACTTTTACATATCTGGACAGCATCATAGATGAACACGGAGGATTTGATGCAGATGTGAAGGCGCGGATCGGCAAACCAAGAGCAGTATATATACAACTGAAGAACATGTGAAACTCAAAACAACAGTCTGTCAACCAACATTAAAGTCACAATATTCAATACCAATGTCAAGACAGTTCTACTGTATGGGGCGGGAATTTAGAGAATTACAAAAGCCATCACCAAAATGGAACGAGTATTTCTAAACAATTGTCTACACAAGATACCCAATGTCCATTGACTGGATACCATTAGCAACAGACTACTGTGGGAGAGAAAAACCAACTTCCAGCTGAAGAGGAAATTAGGAAAACACGTTGGAGGTGGATAGAATACACATTTCGGAAATCATCAGACTGAACCACGAAGCGAACACTAACTTAGAATCCTGAAAGAAAACAAAAAAGATGAAGTCCAAAGAGCACACTATGTCGAGATTTGGAAGCAGACATCAGAAGGATCAATAGCGACTGGAAAAAACTGTAGAGGATTATCCATGACAATGTTGGATGGCCAATGCTGGTAGATAGATAACAGTGGTTTTTTCAGTACATATTATGTTAGAAAAGTTTTAATAATTGTTTATTATACGTGATTATTGACACATGGTACAACACCCTTGATTGGAATGTTTCATATGTGAAGTGGTGTATACAGTAGGATATCCTATAATTATTTAAGAAATGATGATCTCTGTATGAAACCATGGAGTTAGTTTTCTTAATAACAATCAATTTTATGACATAATAGACGGTCTTCAGAACTGAGCATTCATTCGTGACTCCGAATGTCTTGAATTCAATGCCCTATATGGTTTAGATGCTCACTGCTACTGAGGTTTCCCTTATTATTGTTATTATTATTATTGTCAATGGTTTAGAGGTTGAACGTTCATGCACGAGATCGGAGGTCTTGAGTCCGAATCTAGTGTGCAACATCATGGATGCACATTATTGAAGTGTCCCATACTGGAACGAAACAGTCATCCAATGATTACAAGTTTTCTATGATAGTCTAGCTTAGATCAATAATTGATTTAAAACCACCTTTTACTGACTGGACAGTTTTTGATTATTCAATAAACTCTCTGTTGAAGATTAAGTTAGTATAGTATGAGTTTACTAGGAGTACTGATTTTATGTAGTAATGAAGAAATAGGGTCGCATGCCAATACTATTGCAGGATACAACATTGAAATACACTTTAATCATGAACTAGTTGTCTGTAGGTGGTTGACATTGAAAAAGACTCCCCGAAGTTCCATTCGAAACCCGCATATAATGTGATTTAGTAATATGAACGATAAGGCAGGTCTCACTGAGATGAACCACTACAGTCTAACTCAGTGATGTACAATTGAAGCCTGATGATTTTAAGTTTACCTATTGGGATACTGGATATGTACTTCATGAAGAATTTCACACTATAATAAAATAGGTATACAGTATAACTTGTTTTTCATTTGATAGTCTAGATAATATCATTTCATGATGTAAATTACAAAATGAATAATCTCTATCTCGTTAACAAACCAAACAATGAATGTAACTATGTGATGAAGTACGGGTTGACATACACACATATTGAAGCTATATTCTACTCAATACCATTGAACTGTCAAAATTAAAGAGGGCATAGTGAAAGTAGGACACATGAACGATCAACTTATCATTAGTGTTACAAACTTCTATTGCAGTCAAATACAATAAGTTTGACCTACTTATGTATTCGTTTAACCGGAGAGTGCTGCAAGTCATATGCATACTTAAATACTGCCAATTTTGATATTCTATGTTGTCTAATCCACAAGTAGGTTAGGACAAAGTAAAGGGAGCTGAGCTGTGCTGTCAGATGAAGATTGAGGTTATCATGACCAAAGGTTAGAGATGTCTGATATAGCTTAGAGTAAGTTACTATGGTATAAATGTATTAGGTTTTGGCTTCCTCTTCGATTTTTACGCCATACATTTCCTGAATTCATTCTTTCATGTTGGATTATATTATCTATGTCTTATTCAACTACTGATATTGTCAATACTACTAAGATTTTGGCATTCATTATGGTAATATCATCTTGTCTTATTAAGTTGCTATGGTAACATGGACTAATGCACATATATGTCTGGATTCTAAGTTGATTATAACTGACTGATTAACTTAATGGTGTATATTAAAGTCTAATGAATATTTTTATTTACAAAACCGGGCTAGACCACCATTGCAAACATTGAACCACTGGTTGGCCGATTCATCCAAGTATGGGACTGCCCAACACATACGGAACTCGAATCCAGGGAGTATCGGTCTCACGCGTGAATGCTTACCTTCTAGACCATCGAGCCGGCATCCAGTGGTGTCGATGTTGAACTTCAATCGGTCCACAATCTTGCACAATCATTCATCTATTATCTAAGGTAGATAATTGTCTCCACCCGACACGGACTGAACTCCGTTGGTCATGTCTTCTCATTAGAACACCAGGAAATCCACCCTAAAGCTAATCACTAATGAGAATATGATTATTATCAATGATCTAGAGATTGAGCGTTCATGCGCGAGACCAGAAGTTCTTGGTTCAAATCTCACGTCCAGAATCGTGAATACACACCACTGAAGAGTCCCATACTAGGACGAAACAACCCTCGATTGATTCTAGGTTTTCAGTAATAATCTACCTGGGATGGATTCATGAATTCAACCATAATTATTATTTATTTATTTCATTTCCATGTTTACAATTTTATTTTTTATTAAAATATGAACTATTTACAAACGTGATTTAATTCACCTAAAATATCAAGTTTGTTTTGTATGAATCAGGGGAAAAAAGTGGAAAGGAGAAGAGAGAGAGAAAGAAGGAGAAAGGGAACTGGAGACAAGTAAAATCACTTCAAATTGCGTGCATCTTGAAAATAAATTTAAACAAGTCTGAGTGTTTTAATGTTTCAAAATAAAAACATTGAATGAAATACATTGAAGATACTACCACCACCACAACCACGACCACCACTACTACTACTACTACTACTACCCTTACTACTACTCCGACTACTCTTACCACTACTACTACTACTACTATCACTGTTACTATGACTACTATTACTACTACTTCTACTACTATAATAATCATATTCTGAGTAAACTCTCTATGTATGTAGGTATTCCATTTGTTATGAGAGGTATTCATTTGAAACAACAATGTTAATAATAATTTCTAGTGTAAACGATCATGTTAATTATAGAAACTTGAATAGAATAATTATTGTCAGGCAATTGTATCCCCTCAAATAATATTTACATTACATAGTACATAATTGACTTGAATAGGCAGTAAAGAAGAACAAGAAGAAACAAAACATACTTATGTTTATTTACTGGAAAAATATAATGAAATATGAAGTAGAAAAAAAAGAGAAGGGGAATGATGAAATGAAGTAACTGACAGTATGAGATTGTGTAGATGATTAAGTTTATTGTTTAAATCATGAACTGAATGATGTTAGATCACAAGTGAAAACCTGGGAGCACTGGACAGACGTTTCGTCCCATTGCAGTACTTCTCAGCAATACGCATCCACAATCCCGTTCGTGGGATTCGAACTCAATGTTAGTGTTAGGGATAGGGATAGGTCTGATATCAGTCGGTTCATGATCTCAATGAACTAACTGAATTGGGACTTCATTTTTACGCGTATATGTATGTTGATGGATAGAAAGAGAGAGAGAGAGTGAGAGAGAACATTGAACAGAAGTTTCGTACTAGTCTAAAACTGCTCCATGGTGTACAGAAGGGTCTGGTCCTAGGTTGAACCCACATAGATTATTCTAGATACTGGATAGGCTAATCTATTCATTCTTCTTAAGCTAAATATTGACCTTGTCACTAATTCGCTTATCAACCTTGACTGTTTATTTGTAACCGTATATGTGTGTGTGCAATTCTTATACCGTTCATCACATGTCTGACTATAAATATCGATTTATGTTTGGTTAAATTGAGTTGGTTCACATGCCTTCTCTATTGCGGGTCATTTTGTCTTGCTTCGCTTTCCGACTAACGATTGTACGGAATCTCTTAGTGAAATCTAAGAACCATACAGTAAATACTTCATTGTTGTTTTGTTTCCACACCAAACACTCTCTGTACTGGTTCTCTTTTCATTTATCTTCTTAACATTCCGCCACCAGGCACTTCATTTTCGGATGATGATACATACTACTTTTATCTGTACAGATCAGTAACACACATCGCACAATGTTATCCACTTCCATCGTCTAGTCCCGATTTACTGTTCAAAAAGAAACAGGTTTGTTCTCTCTCACAATAGGCTGTTGTTGATGGTATCTGGTCAATGGAAATTCAGTATCTTGTGTAGACGACTATTTATAAATTCTTGCATCTTCATGATGATGATTGTAGTAGTTCTCTAAGTTTTAGCTCCGTACAGTAGAACTATCTTGACGTTCGTATTGAAGATTCTGACTTTGATGTTGGTTGACAGACAGTTGTTTTGAGTTGCATATATTCTTCAATTATAGGAATGAGGCCCTTCCTTTTTCAATCCTTGCCTTCACATCTGCATCAGATAATCCACGTTCATCGATGATACAGTACAGGTACGTGAAAGATTCCATCACTTTCAGAGTTTCTCCACCACGTGTGATTGCTTTGGTGTTCTCTAGCTTTTTCCCTTGTTTATGTTGAGACCTATTGATCCAGAGACTGCAACTACAGTGGTTGTGTTGACCTGCATTTGTTGATATGCATAGGATAGAATTGCCAGAAATGAATTTCCACTATCTTCATGAAACGGTCTATACTTATAGTGAGCTGGATATTAACTGAAGACTTTTTGTCAACTATTGGTATTGTTGTTTACTTGAATCTTCCTATTGATGTTTAGGACTACAACTGATCAGTCTTGTATTGGCATATGTTCATCCATTGTGTATTGCCTCGATATTGTCTTAAATCAAAAGCTTTGTAAGTAAAGATAGATAGTGACTAGTATTGGAATCCACGACGCGCGTTTAGTTCTATCTGAGACTCATCGTTTGGATGTACCTGCATCCCTGACTTGATGTACACTTCAAGGACTCGAACCAAGTACCGTTCTCTTCAAACGCCATTGTATTATCCACCTAGCTACGGAGTCCTGATAGCCACTAGCTTGCACAAGCTTCGTAGCTACAATCTTTCTTTACATAGTAAAATTTCACATTTTAATTTGAATAAAACATTTTCAGAAATAAGAATGAATTTTCTTACCTTTGCTAAATCCACCAAAGAGTTTGATTTATCTTGAAGTTCACGTTGTTTCACCTTCATTGTTCTTAATCTAAAATGAGATTGATTGTTTAAAACAAATTCAGGTTGAGAAACTTAAACAAATATGTCTACAATAGTTAGCATGAATGACTGATCTCAATTAAATAATCTTTGAAGATCGATAATCACTAGGCAGTTGTTTCTTCATATTATGATACTCTTCATTGATAATCATGTGCAGCAACGATCAACCAGTAATCAAACACAATATACTTAGGTTCAGTGGCAACGTCTCTGACTCTGAAGCTGGGTGAAACAGAATCGAATCCATCAGGGAGAATCAGTTGAGATTAAAGATACTCCTTGATAATGAATACTAAATAGCATGAAACCTAGGTCCAGGGTTTCCTGTTGACTATGTTTAACCACTATGTTATCTCAACATAGTGCACACAATATCGATTCACCTAGACTAGTGGCCACATTGCAACTTGGTCGATAGGATTGTACCTGCGCTAAGAATAACCTGACATATATGCCACTGATCATCACCCAGTGATCAATCAACTGTATAGACCTTAGTATATACACCTGCTTACTATGGCTAAATGAGGGTCATATATTAGTGTGAGGAATTAGATTTACCATTCACGGTTGATAATTAAGGTTAGGAATTAGATTTAGTCAAATGAGTGAATGAATGTCATGCCAAAATCCAAGATCTATCATAAATTTGATTGGTTCGTTTATAAACGTTCATAGACATAAGATCCTATTAGAGTAAGTTCCTGAAACAAAACCCGTTTCCAAAGTCACAAGGAAGCTTCTTTTTTCATGAAAACAAGTTAAGTTAGTTTACTTTTCAGTTGATAAACAATTTAAAGGTATGTAAGCAAAGATGGTTGGTGACTAGAAGTGGAATCCAGGGCACGGATTTCGTCCTATTTGAGACTTGTCAGCTAGATAAACCTACATCCCAGACTTGTTGATGTTCACTGCGGGACTCAAAACCAGTACCGTTCGCTTCAAACGCTACTTAGCTACTGAGTCTTGATAGCCACTTGCTTATATAATGGGGTGAAAATTAAGTTCACTTGGTATTGTTTGCTTGAATCTTCCTATTGATGTTTAGAACTGCAATTGATCAGTCTCTTATTGGCATATGTGTATACTTCGTTCGAGTCTCGGAGTGGACATCAGAAAGTCTGGGATGCAAGTAAATCCAGTTAACGAGTTCAAAATAGATTCCACTACTAGTCGCTATCAATCTTTGCTTATAAAGCATGTGACTTAAGACAATATCGAGGCAATCCACACAGGATGTACATATGCCAATCAAAGACTGATCAATTGCAGTCCTAAATAACAACTGTAAAATACAAGCAAACAATACCAAGTGAATTTAAAGGTAGATTTGTTATTATCATTATTTTAACTACTTGCTAAGTATACGGTTGATTTTATACCGAATTGGCACATACATTGAAATTTATCAATCATAACAAAGTCTTCCCTGTTTCTTAAACAAAGTGAATTAGTTAACAAATGACTATACACGCTGACTACATGAAACTATAGTGTTAGTTGCTATGTTAAGCTTACATAGCTTATTCTAGATTTTGGATAAGCCAATTTACCTATTCACTTCAAGCGACACTTCTAATTTGTTAATTATTTGTTAGTGAGACTCGAAATGATGGACGACATTTGGGTGACGCTAAAGTAACTTTGAGAATGCCCACCTAATAACCAGTACCATATGAAGGTTATTAACCAATGTGAGGTATTAGATTTATGGTTTTCATCACGAACTAACATCACCTAAAATGGCGAAACTCTATTTAGTCAAATGGATGAGTGAATTTCATGCCAAAATCCGATACCTCTTTATCTTATACACCTGATTGGTTCGTCCATTAGTTATAGTCTCGCCTATTTGTTTATCAATCGTGACTACGTTTATGTTAGCGTATATGTGTACACTTCTTATCCTATTCATCACATGCCTGTAACTTATTTTTGTTCGGCTATAAATATCTATTAACGCTTTGTGGTTAAATTGAGTTGTCTCAGTCGCCTTCTCCACTGCACGTCATTTTGCTTCATTCTCTTCACTTCATTCCTCTGGTTATCTGTTCAGACCAATGAGTGCATAAATATATATATTCAAACATCCATTCTCGTATTCATTAACGCTATTTCAGTCAATGATTCTATACGAGGTTTGTCAACATGTGTATATTTCAATAACAATCATTCATCCGTTCTAATTAAAGTCATATTGGATTACTAAATGTCCAACTTCAACCAATCCACGAAACTAAGTCACCATCCATCATTACCATTAGTTAGTTATGATCATACAACAGACTTGGTTCAACTTCATTAGTTACATTTTGAATTATTTCGACCGCCCTCCCCCCCCCACCTTCAAAAAATATCATACAAGATTACCTGTAAATAGCTTGTAAGAATTTACGTTGATGTGCTCGAACACGATGTGAATTAAATGTTGGCATTAATTTTGCATGTTTATATAATAACCAAGTTTCTCGGAGTACATTAGCTGCACAATGTTTAACCTAGAATAAAAGAAATTAATAACACTGAATATAATTATATATATATATATATAAAATATATATATATATATATCATAAGTATATTGACATGACAACTTTGATTAGATACCTAAGCACCCCAAATGCCCTGGCATGGCCGAGAGTGGGGTGAGCCCACCCTCCCTCTCGAAATGATCTTACACGGCCACTCGTATACAGCCTCTGCCAGGGAAGTTCAGTCACTGCCTTCTCGTGGCGAGGGTGTATTTTACGAAAATGAGAGGACGAAAAGCGAATGTCCGGCGCCTTAACCGGATCTCAAACCAATGGTGCACATGGACTCCAGTATCCTGCGGGAACAAATGGCGTATGAACCAATCGTTGGTCACCGGCCACCATGAGACTGCATCTCCTCACGATGCTCCACTGCCTTGTGGGTCAGGCCTTTAGGTTAAAGGCTCTGGGTGTGACCCCCTTAGAAAACCACCTGCTTCGGTCTGGGCACCCGGGCAGTATCACAGCCCACACACACATATATGGTGTGGCGCATATATATTTGGTGCCCTCTTGTACCAGTACTTTTGTGTTCAAATAAATAAATAAAGATACCTAGGCTGAAGTTAGAAGACGTGGAATTATTCACATATCTGAGGAGGATCATCAATGAACAAGAAGGATCTTTGATGTAGATGTAAAAGCCAGGATTAACAAAGTAAGGACAACATTCTTACAGTTGATGGAAATATACAACTTAAAACAACTGTATGTTAATCAATATCAAAGTCATAACCTTCAATACAAATATCAAGACAGTTTCATTATATGGGGAACTACTACAACCATCATCAAGAAGGTTCAAGTTTTTATGAATAATTGTCTACACATGATACTCAATATCCGTTGACTGGATACCATCAACAATAGCTTACTATGTGACAGGACAAACCAGCTTCTAGTCCCATGGATTCACACTGCTGAGGAGTTCCTTACTAGAATGAAGCGGCTGTCCAATTATTCCAGGCTTTCAATGATAGTCTTGTTTAGATCGACTCATGAATTCAACCCAATAATTAGTTAAGAATACATCACAAATCGTGAATTTATTTACTTAAATACATGGAAATCAGTAGAAAGGGACACCAAAATAAATACATAAATCAATGAGAGCAGTTGCGTTACTACCTAAGTGAATCCTTTCAGTTAAAGAAGTTCCTTTCATTTCCACAAAGAAAATAACGAAAATTGCGGTAAGAGTGCAAGTGGTTTCTATTCTGAGACATATCCCATAACATCTCAAGTCATTGTTTGCACTGTTTCTAGCACTCCAACCAGGGAATCTTAAATTATCGACAAACAATAGTCCTATACAACCTTCTTTCAAACCACGGCCCTATATCGTACACTGACCAACACTCTCCTTTTTTCAATCAATCACAGTGCCGGGAAAATATGAAATTCGTTGAAACATTTGACGTACATGTTCCATTAAATGAAGCCAGTGTTTTTAAATGATAACACGACTTGATTTATCGTCATTATGCCCAGACATACGTTACTGAACCTCGACATTGCCAACATCGTATTTTCATACAGAAACTTCAATATGTTATTAAACTCCTCAGGCATACCCAGAGAGCAGTCCTGTCTAACGAATCGGAGGCAGCCTTGACATCAAAAAACACAACATTCGTTGGTCTGTAATAACAACGAAGGTGTTCTAATATTATACAAACGATGATCTGAAATAGACGTATCTTCCGATAGTTGTGGCATAATTGACTTGAACCGTTTCAATCGGTCAGGTTTAAATTCCCTCTGAGGTGAGGGTACATCCAGCTGACGAGTCCGAAATAGGACGAAATGCGCGTCAAACTGAATTCCATTGCTTGCCACTGTCTATCTTTGCCTATAATGCTTGTGACTGCAGATAATATCGAGGCGATCCGCACAGGATGCACATATTTCAACATGAGAATGATCAGTTGCAGTCCTAAACATCAGTCGGAAGACTCAAATAAACCACACCAAGTGAATTTAGTATGTTCTGATATTATTTATTTCATATTTTATTTGTAGGCGATCATCAATCAAATGTTTCCTTCTTTTCAGTATGGGAATTTGTGAAGATTGTAGTATTTTGAAAGTTCATTTGATGATTCAGTCTAATCTAGACCAGAATTGTAAACCTGGAAGCATTGAACTGTGTTTTCGTCCTTGTACGGGACTCCTCAGCCGTGCACATCCACGATCCTGAACGCGGGAATCGAACCCAAGATGTTCAGTCGAACTCGTGAACTCTCAACCTACAAACTACTGAACCATCATCCAGCTATGTTAATGTCTAACTTCAACTGGTTCATGATCTATTCCGAGTTTATACAACACAAACTGATTTCACAGATAGCATCCTTTTAATCAAATGAATGATCATATTTGGAATGAAATCTAGCGGTGAATTAAGCTATATGTTAAATATCACTCTGATAAGCATTGAACAGATTCATTTGTCCTAACTGACAAACTTCCACTTTGCATTTTAATCTAATTGCTACCATGAATTATGGTTTCATATCAGAACATTCTAAACTACGATAAAATGCTTATTCGTCAGTTTCTTTCATTAGCCTTTTAAATGGAATCTGTCGAAGAGATCTAGAAAATTCTTCAAAAGAAATGTCAGAAAAGGCTCTGAAAGCACTGAGAAACATCTTATCCAATCATTATTCCATAAAAGTTTCACCAGAACCATCTAGAAAGTGAAAAGTCACGTGTCACATTTCTACTACTATGTTTAGTAGCATTCCAGGACATTCCGAAAACGTAAGGTCATCTAAAATACTATAAATGTCTTAGACTTTCTGTACATAAACGCACCTTTGAAGTAAAGCATTTCCTTTTCACATTTCTCATTCTTTTCTCTCATGTTGAAGTTACTGTGTAGAATCTAGCCCGTGTGTGTGTGGAGGGGGTTGGAGAGGTTACTGTGAGGAAGAGCTTAGGAAACTGAAAAACCTATCAGAATCCATAAAGAAATGTTAGGAATTTCATTTAATACTGAGCTAACAAATTGGTTGAGGTTAGATATTAACATCGCTGGATGCCGGCTCAGTGGTCTAGTTGGTTGAGCACCTGGTGCGAGGCTGGTAGGTCCTTGGTTCGAATCTCGGGGTGTGTGGGGTTGTGGATGCGCACTGCTGAGGAGTCCCATACTAGGACGAGTCGGCCGTCCAGTGCTCCCTGGTTTCTCATGGTGGTTTAGCTTCAATTGACTCATGATTTTAATCTAATAAATGTATGTATATGCCAATAAAACACTAGGGTAGTGAACGTACAATAGAGTTATATAAGGGAGGAACAATAATAATAATAATAATAACCATACAATATAGATCATTATACTTTTTTGGTTAGTTTACTAGATTCCATAAAATGTAGTACATGTTTTTCAGCTTTAGTCATTTCTAATTTCTTTGAAAATACAGCAACTAATAATGCAGTACAAGCAGAACCCTAAAATTGAAAAAAAAAACAAATGGGCAACAACAAGAAAAACAATCAGAAAGGGGTTTTATGGACATTATAGTAAGTTAATAGTTGTATTCATGAATCAATTGAAGCTGACTCAGTGATCAAGAGGTTAAACATTCGCGTGAGAGACTGATGGTCCTGGTTTGGAAATTCACGAGGTGGTATTGTGAATATGCACTTTTGAGAAGTCTCATATTGGGACGAAACGGTCGTCTAGTGATTCTAAGTTTTCCATGATGGTCTAGCTTCAATCGACTCATGAATACAGCTACTAAACAATTAAAGTTTATTGAGAAAGATTACGTGAGATTATAAAGTTGTTTGGTAGAATGACATGGTTTGCAATGTTTATATACTATAATACTAATGATATTAACAATGCATAGTGATTTGAATGGTACTATGAAGATGGAATAGTAACTCGTTGATTGAGGAATTCGACTTCTACTTCATAAGTCGTCAGTTTGAAATTCGTTTCACCTACGTTGTTTAGGGTAAACAGATAGTATCATTACCCAGCATACATATAATAAAACTCAGAGTCAAGTGAATAAATCTGAACTTGGTAAATGAATTACATTCATCATCGTGAGGTCAGTAGAAATAAAATAAGACAAAACTATCTATTTATCTATTTGAATACATAAATATTAGTACAAATAGGCATCGAATACGTGTGCGTCACAAAAGTCACTTGATTCGTGTGAGAACTATGATACTGCTCGGGTGCCAAGATCGAAGCAGACGGTGCTCTCAGGAGGCCGCATCAGGAGCCTTTGACCTGAAAGTCTATTCCACAATGCAGTGGAGCAACATCAGGAGATGGAGTCCGATGGTAGCCGGTGACAAACGATTGGTTCATACACCTTTTGTTCCCTTAGGATACTGTAGCCATGTGTACCATTAGTGTGAAATCAGGGTTCCCCAACTCCCCTATGTGGACTCTTAATATCCATCAACCCGATTAAAGCCCGTGCTAGACATTCGCTTCTTGTCCTCTTAATTTCGTAAACAACAAGAATGCCGTGAGAAGGCAGTGATTAGGACTTCTCTGGCAGTGGATGTATACGTGTGGCCATGTGAGAGCATTTCGAGAGGAAGAGCAAACTTACCCCACCTTGGCCGTACTTGAGCATTTAGGGGCGTTGACGAAACTAACCGATAAATGGTGAAAGGTAATTTGCAGTGAACCCTGAGCTTAAATCATGCTGGCTGATATTCGCTAACAAAGCGTACTTGTACTTTTGGATAGAAGAAAACCAGTCAGTAATATTCAGATATGACTAAGGACTAGAAACCATGATATTACTGTCTACATGGTAATCGATCAGTACAGAAAAGACTGTTTATTACGTAACTAGTATATTTAGAAAGAGGCAAATATGCAACTTCAGTTTGTTACCAAAAATAGGATCGATCAAAGGATTCACTTATCCAATAATCATTTTTAATCATTACGATACTGATAGTTTATTGATATGTGGTACTTACTTACTTACGCTTGTCAACCCTCACGAAAAAGGATAGGCTACCTACCCAACACTCTCCATCCAACCCTGTCTTACGTAATCCTTTCCAGTTGCAATCCCGAATGTGATAAGTTATTGATTATTCATTGAGGAGTGTTAATCCGTTTAAGGTTATACAAAGTTTGGATTTTCAAACAATGTTAAGTAAGTTTATAGGTTCCAGTATAATGAGGACCTGTTTCTAATTTAATTTAACTTGTAATAGTTTGGATTATCCTGTTCTTGGAGTTCTTAAACTGAATTTCGATTGATCTTAGTTGGCATCTGTGCATACAATGTAGATTGTCACATTAAATATATTACTTCACAAGCTGTTTCAAAAAACAGACAGAATGTGACTAGCAATAGAATCCAAAAATCACGAATCCTAGAGTGAACTTCAGCTACATCCAACTGTCAAGTCCCAAAAGAGACGAAGCATGCACGCTCGATTAGGCTGCTAGACTTATTTCATGTATTCGGTTCCAACTTTTCAGTTGCGTCATCTGATTTGTATACTCATCATCTGAGCAACTCAAGTTTTTGTATATAATAGATTCATAAGCAACTAATACTAGTATGTCTTCTGTGAGAGAGGACAAACCAGCTTCCAGCTCAAGAGGAAATTAGGAAAAGATGTTGGAATTGAATAGGACATACATTATGCAAATCATCAAACTGCATCACGAAGCAAGCCCTAACTCGGAATCCTGAAAGGAAGCGGAAAAGAGGAAGGCCAAAGAACAAATTGCTTGGGGAAATGGAAGTACATATGAAAAGGATGAATAACAACTGTAAAGAGCTGGAAAGGATTGCCCAGCTTAGGGTTGGATGGAGAATGTTAACAGGCGTTAGTAAGTAAGTATACAAAGCGCTAACGTTTCAAACTTTCCCTATCGTAAGATAAAAGCAATAATATTTACATATTGTTAGGAGAGACTGTAATTTATGAGCGAACCAATCAGATTTAGGATAACAAGTCTTGGATTTTGGCGCGAAATTCATCCATCCATTTAAGTAAATGATGTTTCAGCATTTTAGTTGATGTCGGTTTATGATGAAAATCTTAATTCTAATTCTTAACCTTGACTATCAACTCTTCGCACTTCTGTATAACCCTCAAGTAACCCTAGTACATTGAAGGATAGTCTCCGTAGTCATTTTAATTTTAATCGTTGGTTGTTACGCCGGGAAATGGAGATAGACATGAGTAAAATGAACAAGAACTGGATGGAACTAGAAAAGAAGGCCCATGACAGAGTGGGTTGGAGAATGCTGGTCGGCGGTCTATGCTCCATTGGGAGTAACAAGCGTAAGTATGTAAGTAAAATCATAGTCTTATTCATTTAAACAATATAAATCATAACTTTAAATAAAATATAATCTTACCATAAGACCAGTAGCAACAGCAATTAATCTGCCACAACTTGTATGCGGTACAATATCACCATAACCAATACTTAAAAATGTAACGGATATAAGCCAAGCTGAATTTAATAAAGATAAATGATTATCTCCTTGTTCCCTTTGAACAAAATAGAAATAAATAACAAACATAAAAGATACTACTTATGATAGACTTAATGATAGAGATAGTCAAATATACTTTATATGAATGAATGGATAGATGAATAAAGATAATATGTGACATGAAATTATTATCAATGTAAATAATGTCAATAAGATAATGATCATTGTTTACATAATCAACTTGTTTTATTGTGTAATATTGACTTAGTATTAGGGATTATAACATAAGATAAGGCAAGAATTTGAGCTTCTTTAAGTCTATACAGATGTATATATGTTTCAATAATTGAGATCATTAGTCAATTGAAGTTAGACTACCATGGAAAACCTGGAAGCATTGGACGGCCGTTTCGTCCTATTGTGGGACTCCTTAACAGTGCGCATCCACGACCCTTCTGATACTAAACAATATATCCTCACTAGTGACTGGCTTCAAGTATATATCCTGGAGTTCTAGTGAGAAGCAGTGACCAGTGGAGTTCAACCGGGTCAGTTGTGAGATAGTAACTCACTGATGACTATAGTGGATGTGTCGCTCAGTTTCGTGGATTAGTTGAGGTTAGACATTAAAACCGTTAGACGCCAGCCAGCTCACTGGTCTAGTTGGCTAGGTGCCTGGCGCGGGACCGGAAGGTCCTGGGCTCGAGGCGCGGGGCGGGGTCGTGGGTGCGCACTGATGGGTCCCACAGTAAGACGGGATGGCCGACCAGTGCTTCTGGGTCTTCCATGGCGGTCTAGCATCGATTGACTCATGATCCCAACAATTGAAATTACTACAATCTCCACAAAACCCCTTCTGATACTTAAATTTTTGTTGAGAAATATAAGTAAAGATGAATGATGGTTAGTAGTGGAAACTAGGATAAGCGTTTCATGTTATTTAAAACTTGTCAGATGGATGTAATTGTATTTAGATATGTTGATATTCACTGTAGACTCGAACTCAGTAATGCACACTTTAAACACCACCTCGTTGTCTACTTCTTAGGTTCGAGTCCCGGAGTGAATAACAATAAATCTGGGATGCAGATACATTCAGCTGATGAGTCCGAAATAGGACGAAACCTGCGTTGTAGTTCCACTACTGGCTACCATTCATTTGGCTTATAGTACTTGTGACTAAGGTAATACGCACAGGATGTACATATCCCAATAAAAAGACTGATAAATTGCAGTCCTAAACATCAGCTGGAAGATTCAAACAAACAATACGAAAAATGAACATTGTTTTTAGTTTGTGATATAAATCCTGTACCAATGGTAAACAAATTTTCAGTATATGGTTGTGAAGGTCCTAGGTTTGATTAACGGTTGCCAGGTCGTGGATGCCAACTGCTAAACAGTCTCTTAGTGAGACGAGATGGTCGTTCAGTGGTTTCAGGTTTTCAATGATTGTCTAACTTAGATTAATAAGTGGGTTTAATGAAAGATTAATAAGTTGTTGAACACAGAGATTTGGTTACTACGAGCCTCAACATATTGTGGCAACACCATTAATATGCTTACGATTTTCATATAAAATGACATGTTTACTTAAAACGATTTCAAGTAATCTTACTTCTGACTGACTTAGTGGGTTTTTCTAAAGGATCATGTAGATAGCGAAATTGATTTGGTTATCCATGTATGATCGATGAAGACAATAATGGACGGTGGTGCAATCTCGTGGATTGGTTGATGTTAGACATTAACACCACTGAATGCCAGCTCATTGGTCTAGAGGTTAAGCGTTCACGCATGAAATCGAACGTTTTTGGTTCGAATCACACGGGTAGAATCGTGGATGCGCACTACTGAGAAATCCCATGCTAGAATGAAACAGCCGTCGAATGCTTGCATGTTTTCTACATTAGTCTAGTTTCGATTGACTCATGAGTTCAACTATTAAATTACCACAATCTCCACAAAACCTCTTTCTGATAATACACACATTTTTTGTTTCAACCATCAGCAAGATCTACAACGTTAATTTGATTGATTGAAGATGAAAACGATTGTCACATATACAACATACTACACACTAAATCATTCGCTACTGGAATATTAGTTGTTTAAGTGTAGTCAAGTGAAACACAATCTGACCTATGTTTCTTGATAGTTGACATTCATTAGAAAGGTGTACATATGAAATCATGACTGAAAGGACGTTGGCTGATTAACTGGATCATCATCATATATATATGTCCATTAAAAAATTATGTCACTTATAGCGTACTTCTCATTTTCAGTAAATGAAGGACAATTTTGTTCATTCATTTCATGTGTGTACCGGTTTATTCTATTATAATCCAACAGCATAGCCAACACCGCATATTGTGATTGGTAATAGTAACAATATTAGTATTTCTAGGAAAGATTAAAGACAGTAAGATTCGACAAGAATGGGTGAATAATTCCAAGCCGTATTATTCAACGTCTAAAACAATTGATTAAAATCGTCTCACAGACGTTAACCAGATAGTCCGACTTACTTATACAGCTCCTTATATAGGTGGACTAATATTAGGCTTTAGTTATGACACAATTAGCTTCCTTCTTACCTACTCCCACATCAGTAAACATCATACATTGCAGTATGCGATGGTCTTAACCATGTTATACATATCCTGGTAGTCTTTGTCGATGTAGATTTACCCTACAATCAATCGATTAGCCATCCTCAATTAATACTCTGTTGTTAACCATTAAATTGATTACTTAGTGGTTCCAAGATATATGACCACTGCTTTAGAGATTTTGTTGACAAACAATATATTATAACCGTTTACCTTTATATACTCTGTCCAGCTATTTAAACACAAGTCATTACGTGGCATGTGCTACTGATGTCAACAGATATAAGTAGTATGTATGACCAATTGAAGGTGAAATACCTGGCGACAGAAGGTTAAGAAAATCAAAGAGAAGAGAACGAAAACGGTGAATAATTAGTGTGAAGACGAATGAACAATGAAGTCTGAGACAAATGATTGAGATCTTGAACCGATTGATGTTAGACCACCATTAAAAACTTAGAAACACTGGAGGGCCGTTTCATACTATTGCGGGACTCCTCAACAGTGCGCATCCACGATCCCACCCGCGGGATTCAAACCCAGAGCCTTCAGTCTCACGCGTGAACGCGCAAATGTGTTAATGTCTAACCTCAATCAATCCACGAAATTGAGTCACTAGGTTTTCAATGGTAGTCTAACATCAATCGTTTCACGATCTCAATCAATAACTTAACAATCTCTACAACGAAAGCATACAACTTACAATTCACAAGCTCTTAATGTCCAACTGAATATTATCCATATTGTTGTAATGAAAACAAGTAATGCTTTCGCTGGACATAATGTCATTAATGTTTTCAATACAAATTGTAAATTGAAACTGACCTAATTGAATGTGGTTCATGAGAAAAAAAAAAGAAGAAAATAGAGAATGTAAATGTACACTAACGAATTAAATAAGGATTGTGAGAAGTACTTGTAATGACAACTTACTTATTTACTTACCTACTTACTTAGACATGTCAACCCTCGTAGAGGATTATAGTCCGCACAATAGGATTCTTTATTGGATTCTGTTCTGATTAGTCCATTCCAGTTGTTATTCATTCTTGATACAATGTGTTCTTTGTACTTCCACTTTTTGGTTTCTCTTTCAGGATTTCTAGTTAAAGCTTGCTTCGTGATGCAGTTTGAGGATTGTCACAATGTATTTCCTATCCACTTCTAACATCCTTTTCTTAATTTCCTCTTCAGATGGAAGATGATTTGTTCACCTTCACAATAGATTGTTGTTGACGGATATTGTTTATCTTGAATAGACAACTATTTATAAATATTTGTACTTCTTTGATGATGGTTTTAGTAGTTCTCTACGTTTTAGCTTCGTACACTAGAACTAATTGTCTTGACATTTGTATTGAAAATTCTGAGTTTGATGTTGGCTGACATATAATTGTTGTAAAATGTTGACTTTAGTTTGCCAATTCTTACCTTTACATCTTCATCGGATCCTCTTTGTTCATTTAGGATAGAGTCCAAGTACGTGGAAGTTTCCACGTTGGTTGGTATTAACTGTGTTGTATTTGAGGATGTTTCTTTTTCCCTTGAGTCTGTTAACGTCTACGGCTGCACAGACTGGTAATTACTGTTACGTAAATATCCCATGGACCTTAATATATGGTTTATGTATTATGAGTCAAAATGATCAGTTAACTTTCTTTTTCATGAGATAAACATCCATTTAAGTTACGTTGTTATCTGTATGTATGATGAGAAGCTGGAACCTAATCACAGATAATGAAGTGACTAGACACTTGATAGCCCATATTTTTCATTTGATCATACATTGATCATAAATACTATTAAATAAAATCTTCTAAACGTTGCTTGTAACTGGTTAACATTTCCAGTTATCGATTTGGACAGAGTTAAACACCTCTGAAGTTATGAAAATCAATTCTTTTATTATAAAATGTTTTCACTAAACTTTATACGTCCTGGGTTCGAATCCCGCAAACGGGATCGTGGATGGGAACCGCTGTGGAGTCCTATATTAAGACGAAACGGTCATCCAGTGCTTCCAGGTTTTCTATGATGATCTACCTTTAAACGACTCATGAATTCAACAATTGAAAAAACATTTTGTCAATTTCATTCAGACTATTAATTAATCAGTTTTATAATACTTCGACACTTTGTCATACTTTCATGACCTATTCTATTCTTAAGTGGATTTTCGCAGATGTCTCTTCCTCTAGGCTAGATGCTTTAACCGTAAAGCTTTCATTCTCCACCTAGATAATGTTATATCCCGATAAGCATAAGGAATAGTGACTTTTGGGATCCATTTATGGATCAAAACGATACATATATTTTTATTGTATAGTTGTTAAGTAACTAAACTATACATATTTATGTCCCTCTTATTATGAAATTGATTTTGACTTATGAACTGTTATTATACGATTTACTATTCTTGAATTATGCCCTGTCTATTAATCACTACCTCCTAAATTCACAGCCACATTTGGCCAAATCTTCTATAAATGTTGTTTCATATTTTATGGTACGATGTGGTCTGTCTGGTTGGTATGTAAACCCAGTATATTTGAAATATATGATTCATATCGTGGAGGCTGAGATTGGTGTTCTGAACCCAACAGGTAGGGCTAGGCAGGAAGCAGGACCGATAAGTACTCTAGACTGTTCGTACGAGTTTACACGTCATTGGTCCGATCGATAATTCAGTGCTCTCTAATTGGTGGTATCATTACGTCATACTTTAACATGGCACATAGTCCACAAGTTATAACAATAATAAGACAAGTATAGACTTTAGACAAAAGTGATCTATTCCAAGTTTTCCATCTAGGAATAGTTGCTTATTCTACTGAATCAACTTTTTCTAAAGCTCATGTTAATGGTGCTGTCTAGAAAGACAATGAAGATTCTAGATCAAATAAACGATACTCAAGATACTCAACATCCATTGGCCGGATATTATCAGCAACAGTCTACTGTGAGAGACAACAAACCAACTTTCAGCTGAAGAGGAAGTCAGGAAAGGACGATGGAAATGGATAGGACATACATTACGCAAATCATCAAACTGCATCACAAAGCAAGCCCTAACTCGAAACCCTAAAGGTAAGTGGAAAATAGGAATGCAAAAGAACACATCGCGTTGAGAAATAGAAGCAAATATGAAAAGGATGAATAACAACTGGGAAGAGCTGGAAAGGATTGCCTGGGACAGAGTTGGATAGAGAGTGCTGATAGGTGGCCTATGCTCCTTGACGAGGACTTACATAAGTAAGAAATAAAAAAAGGACCTCTATTTGAGCTATGAATTTTCACCACAATTATAAAGAAAAAGTCAATAATTCTGATTAGTTAGATACTGAGTAAAGAAACGAAGTTATGATGATGTAAACTAAATTTCAAGAATATATTCGGAATAGGGAAACGATAACGTATATATGAAGTTTTAATGTGGTATGTTTTACCGATCTCAACAGATAAAAGTACTATATATCATCAATCGAAAGTGAAATAACTGGCGACAGATGGTTAAGAAGATCGAATAGAAGAGAGAGGGATCAGAGAATGATTAGTATGGAAACGAAGGGATTATGAATTCTGAGATGATTGATTGATGTTTAACAAATGATGTATATACTGTATGGTTCTTAGATTTTACTGAGGGATTCTGTAATTTTATAATGAAATACATTTGATTGTCACCACTTCTGTTCTCCTTCACTATAGTAGAACTTAAAACCTAAAATGTTCCGACCTATCACCTAATTTTACAACCACTGATGAAAGTTAACTTGTGAATCTCAATCAGGTAGTCTTTAATTACTTAAGTGATTAGATTAATAGTTAGTAACTGTACTAAATTGAGGTCATATCTTGATTCATTCAGTCCATATTTTCCTCCGACTCTTTCCTAAATCAGTTAATCATTAAGATAAGTAGTGTTTGGGAATATGTAACATAAGTTCCAACCACGATAAACTCTAATTTTTTCAACCTTTCCAACTATTTTTCTATCCCTACCCTCTTTATATATAACACTACTTAGTATAGGGGTTGTGGGATTATTGAATTTTTGATTGGGATAACGAAGCGACTGATGTTAGACCACCTTTGGAAACCTGGAAGCACTGGACTGCCGTTTCGTCCTATTGTGGGACTCCTCAGCAGTGCGCATCCACGATCACGCTCACAGGATTCCAACTCAGGGCAGTCAGTAACGCGCGCGAACGCTTAACCTACTCGACCATTGAGCCGGCATCCAATGGTGATAGTGTCTAACATCAACCAATTCAACCAGTCCCAACATGGATTAGCTCCCGCGAGGGGAATCGTGTATGCGCACTGCTGAGGAGTCCCACAATAGGACGAAACGGCCGTCCAGTGCTTCCAGGTTACCAAAGGTGGTCTAACATCAATCGGTTCATGATATCAATCAATAACACTACCCAATTGATCAAATGATAAGTGTGTATGATTTTGAATGTTCATCCTGATTACCAAAAGTTATGATAAACATTCAGTAGTATTAACTTCAATAATAATGGTGATCTTGACACTCGGTCACTTGACAAAACTTTCTGATCTGTTCATATTCAGTTATACCACTATAACACCATTATACCTGACTGTAAGAAAGTCAACAGTATACTTTCAATAGTTGAGATTATGAGTCAATTGAAGCTGGACCATCATGGAAAACCTAGAGGTACTGGACGGCCGTTTCGTCCTATTGTGGGACTCCTCAGTAGTGCGCACCCACGACCCCGCCTCATGAGACTAGAACCCAGGATTTATCAGTCTTCTACGTGAGCGCTTAACCACTAGACCAATGAGCTGGCCGGCATCTAACGGTGTTAATGTCTAACTTCAACTAATCCACGAAATCGAGCGACACATCTACTACTATCATCAGTGAGTTATTATCTCACAACTGACCCGGTTGAACGCCACTGATATGAACAATTGAAATTACTACAATCTCCACAAAACCCCTTCTAATACTAATCAACAGTATACATTGAATGTAGGTTTAATGGAAAATTCTTTCTATGAGTGTTAAACTTACATAATCTACTTTCACGGTTAGAACTGATTCCTGTAACCTATTCACATAACTTGTGAATTAATATTAGATGTTTGACATATTAATGCTAAACATTACCGACTGAATTTCATAGACCAGATAGGGTTGTAGGGATTGTTGAATTTTTGGTTGAGATCATGAATCGATTGACGTTAGACAACCATTGAAAACCTAGAATCACTCAACGGCCATTTCGTCCCAATATACGACACCTAAGTAGTACCCATCCACAATCTCTCACATGGGAATCGAACCCATGATCTTTAGTTTCGCGAACGAACGCTTAACCTTTTTACCATTGAGGTGGCCAGCATCCAATCCATTTTCGTCCATAATTTTCTCCAGTAAATTGTAATATGTTTTTATCAATAGAAAACCATATTGATAATAATAATAGTAACAATCAATCAATTTCATTTTACTTCAAGAAAACATATACATCAAATACATTCTTGATGTATGACCACTCCAAAGTGACTTAAGCATCATAAATCATGGAGCAATCGAAAGAAAGAAAAACACAAAGAAAGAAAGGAGGAAATGAGGAGAGAAAGAGCTGGAGAAAATGAATAAAACACTCAAATTGTTTATCTTTTTTTCTTTTCTCTTCATCCAAATTAGTCAATAGTAATAGTAGTAGGAGGAGGAGGTGGGCGTGGGAGTAGTAGTAGTGGTAGTAGGAGTGGGAGTAGTAGTAATATTGTAGTAGTATGGTAGTAGTAGTAGTAGTAATAGTAGTAGTAGGAGGAGTGGGAGTAGT